GATTCGCACAAAAAAATTTTGGGCGTAAGCCAATTTTTTTGAAATATAATTTTTTTAGCGCGAACGCCATGTAAACTCACCCTAACTCTGAAAAAGTATGTTCCGGACCCCGCCCGAGCGATCGACTATCATGGGCTGTTAGAACACGTTAAGTTGACCGGATATCAGTGAAAAAATTTTGGGCGTAAAGCGATTTTGAAAAATGACAGGTGTTTTCTCGAAATCTGATCGAAGTGCGGATCGGGGTGTTCCGGACCCCCCTGGGGGAAACGGCTCGGTGGGATGTTAGAACATGTTAAATAAACACGATTCGCACAAAAAAATTTTGGGCGTAAGCCAATTTTTTTGAAATATAATTTTTTTAGCGCGAACGCCATGTAAACTCACCCTAACTCTGAAAAAGTATGTTCCGGACCCCGCCCGAGCGATCGACTATCATGGGCTGTTAGAACACGTTAAGTTGACCGGATATCAGTGAAAAAATTCTGGGCGTAAAGCGATTTTGAAAAATGACAGGTGTTTTCTCGAAATCTGATCGAAGTGCGGATCGGGGTGTTCCGGACCCCCCTGGGGGAAACGGCTCGGTGGGATGTTAGAACATGTTAAATAAACACGATTCACACAAAAAAATTTTGGGCGTAAGCCAATTTTTTTGAAATATAATTTTTTTAGCGCGAACGCCATGTAAACCCACCCTAACTCTGAAAAAGTATGTTCCGGACCCCGCTCGAGCGATCGACTATCATGGGCTGTTAGAACACGTTAAGTTGACCGGATATCAGTGAAAAAATTTTGGGCGTAAAGCGATTTTGAAAAATGACAGGTGTTTTCTCGAAATCTGATCGAAGTGCGGATCGGGGTGTTCCGGACCCCCCTGGGGGAAACGGCTTGGTGAGATGTTAGAACATGTTAAATAAACACGATTCGCACAAAAAAATTTTGGGCGTAAGCCAATTTTTTTGAAATATAATTTTTTTAGCGCGAACGCCATGTAAACTCACCCTAACTCTGAAAAAGTATGTTCCGGACCCCGCTCGAGCGATCGACTATCATGGGCTGTTAGAACACGTTAAGTTGACCGGATATCAGTGAAAAAATTTTGGGCGTAAAGCGATTTTGAAAAATGACAGGTGTTTTCTCGAAATCTGATCGAAGTGCGGATCGGGGTGTTCCGGACCCCCCTGGGGGAAACGGCTTGGTGGGATGTTAGAACATGTTAAATAAACACGATTCACACAAAAAAATTTTGGGCGTAAGCCAATTTTTTTGGAATATAATTTTTTTTGCGCGAACGCCATATAAACCCACCCTAACTCTGAAAAAGTATGTTCCGGACCCCGCTCGAGCGATCGACTATCATGGGCTGTTAGAACACGTTAAGTTGACCGGATATCAGTGAAAAAATTTTGGGCGTAAAGCGATTTTGAAAAATGACAGGTGTTTTCTCGAAATCTGATCGAAGTGCGGATCGGGGTGTTCCGGACCCCCCTGGGGGAAACGGCTTGGTGAGATGTTAGAACATGTTAAATAAACACGATTTGCACAAAAAAATTTTGGGCGTAAGCCAATTTTTTTGAAATATAATTTTTTTAGCGCGAACGCCATGTAAACCCACCCTAACTCTGAAAAAGTATGTTCCGGACCCCGCTCGAGCGATCGACTATCATGGGCTGTTAGAACACGTTAAGTTGACCGGATATCAGTGAAAAAATTTTGGGCGTAAAGCGATTTTGAAAAATGACAGGTGTTTTCTCGAAATCTGATCGAAGTGCGGATCGGGGTGTTCCGGACCCCCCTGGGGGAAACGGCTTGGTGGGATGTTAGAACATGTTAAATAAACACGATTCGCACAAAAAAATTTTGGGCGTAAGCCAATTTTTTTGAAATATAATTTTTTTAGCGCGAACGCCATGTAAACCCACCCTAACTCTGAAAAAGTATGTTCCGGACCCCGCTCGAGCGATCGACTATCATGGGCTGTTAGAACACGTTAAGTTGATCGGATATCAGTGAAAAAATTTTGGGCGTAAAGCGATTTTGAAAAATGACAGGTGTTTTCTCGAAATCTGATCGAAGTGCGGATCGGGGTGTTCCGGACCCCCTGGGGGAAACGGCTTGGTGGGATGTTAGAACATGTTAAATAAACACGATTTGCACAAAAAAATTTTGGGCGTAAGCCAATTTTTTTGAAATATAATTTTTTTAGCGCGAACGCCATGTAAACCCACCCTAACTCTGAAAAAGTATGTTCCGGACCCCGCTCGAGCGATCGACTATCATGGGCTGTTAGAACACGTTAAGTTGACCGGATATCAGTGAAAAAATTTTGGGCGTAATGCGATTTTGAAAAATGACAGGTGTTTTCTCGAATTCTGATCGAAGTGCGGATCGGGGTGTTCCGGACCCCCCTGGGGGAAACGGCTTGGTGCGATGTTAGAACATGTTAAATAAACACGATTCGCACAAAAAAATTTTGGGCGTAAGCCAGTTTTTTTGAAATATAATTTTTTTAGCGCGAACGCCATGTAAACCCACCCTAACTCTGAAAAAGTATGTTCCGGACCCCGCTCAAGCGATCGACTATCATGGGCTGTTAGAACACGTTAAGTTGACCGGATATCAGTGATAAAATTTTGGGCGTAAAGCGATTTTGAAAAATGACAGGTGTTTTCTCGAAATCTGATCGAAGTGCGGATCGGGGTGTTCCGGACCCCCCTGGGGGAAACGGCTTGGTGGGAAGGTAGAACATGTTAAATAAACACGATTCGCACAAAAAAATTTTGGGCGTAAGCCAATTTTTTTGAAATATATTTTTTTTCGTGAGGACGCCATATAAACCCACCCTAACTCTGAAAAAGTATGTTCCGGACCCCGCTCGAGCGATCGACTATCATGGGCTGTTAGAACACGTTAAGTTGACCGGATATCAGTGAAAAAATTTTGGGCGTAAAGCGATTTTGAAAAATGACAGGTGTTTTTTCGAAATCTGATCGAAGTGCGGATCGGGGTGTTCCGGACCCCCCTGGGGGAAACGGCTTGGTGGGATGTTAGAACATGTTAAATAAACACGATTTGCACAAAAAAATTTTGGGCGTAAGCCAATTTTTTTGAAATATAATTTTTTTAGCGCGAACGCCATGTAAACCCACCCTAACTCTGAAAAAGTATGTTCCGGACCCCGCTCGAGCGATCGACTATCATGGGCTGTTAGAACACGTTAAGTTGACCGGATATCAGTGAAAAAATTTTGGGCGTAATGCGATTTTGAAAAATGACAGGTGTTTTCTCGAATTCTGATCGAAGTGCGGATCGGGGTGTTCCGGACCCCCCTGGGGGAAACGGCTTGGTGCGATGTTAGAACATGTTAAATAAACACGATTCGCACAAAAAAATTTTGGGCGTAAGCCAGTTTTTTTGAAATATAATTTTTTTAGCGCGAACGCCATGTAAACCCACCCTAACTCTGAAAAAGTATGTTCCGGACCCCGCTCAAGCGATCGACTATCATGGGCTGTTAGAACACGTTAAGTTGACCGGATATCAGTGATAAAATTTTGGGCGTAAAGCGATTTTGAAAAATGACAGGTGTTTTCTCGAAATCTGATCGAAGTGCGGATCGGGGTGTTCCGGACCCCCCTGGGGGAAACGGCTTGGTGGGAAGGTAGAACATGTTAAATAAACACGATTCGCACAAAAAAATTTTGGGCGTAAGCCAATTTTTTTGAAATATATTTTTTTTCGTGAGGACGCCATATAAACCCACCCTAACTCTGAAAAAGTATGTTCCGGACCCCGCTCGAGCGATCGACTATCATGGGCTGTTAGAACACGTTAAGTTGACCGGATATCAGTGAAAAAATTTTGGGCGTAAAGCGATTTTGAAAAATGACAGGTGTTTTTTCGAATTCTGATCGAAGTGCGGATCGGGGTGTTTCGGACCCCCCTGGGGGAAACGGCTTGGTGGGATGTTAGAACATGTTAAATAAACACGATTCGCACAAAAAAATTTTGGGCGTAAGCCAATTTTTTTGAAATATAATTTTTTTAGCGCGAACTAACTAACTCTGAAAAAGTATGTTCCGGACCCCGCTCGAGCGATCGACTATCATGGGCTGTTAGAACACGTTAAGTTGACCGGATATCAGTGATAAAATTTTGGGCGTAAAGCGATTTTGAAAAATGACAGGTGTTTTTTCGAATTCTGATCGAAGTGCGGATCGGGGTGTTTCGGACCCCCCTGGGGGAAACGGCTTGGTGGGATGTTAGAACATGTTAAATAAACACGATTCGCACAAAAAAATTTTGGGCGTAAGCCAATTTTTTTGAAATATAATTTTTTTAGCGTAAGGTAATTTTCAACAATTACGGGTTTCCGATCTGATTCAACATAGTAATTTTTTATATCTATATATTTTTTTGGAGGTAAACCACGAGTTAATGCCATGTCCACTCAAGGACACTTGAGGTATGTTTGTCTTATGCGATTAACGCAAAAACCGCATTTGTTCATTATAATTTTCACGAAATAATAACTTTTGGGGAAGGGGGGCTAGACTTCAATGACACATAAAAACACATAAAATAAACGATACTGCATGAAAGCCGCATTGATTTACGCACATTTAAAGCCAAAAGACGTGGTTGTACGTTGAAATGACAAATTTTGTGCACTGCTGCTGTTTTCGATCGCGCACGATCGATCGGTTCTTCAGCCACATTGACTGTGAGGATTAATTCTTGTTCCTACCACCACGTCGAATTTCAACTTATCAATTTTTCTGGGGATTTGTTAAAATATTCTTCCCTATTAATCAGAATTGGCAAGAACTTCTGAAATATTTTATTAGAAACAAATTCTTTTGATTTGCTTACTTTCTCACGCGGAATAGTGAATGATAATAGTGGAATTTATTCTTGATTTTATCTGTTGTGGGACAATTTCTGTTTTTAAAGAATGAGTATTTGCACATTTTTATCACATTGACTTATTTATTGCAGAGGAAGATGTTGTAAAGGATGGATTTCGACAAAGATCCAACTTTGCAAGAATGGACTCGAGAACAACCGTTATCTGTTCTTGCTTTGGATAGTGCAGATAGAGCTGTTCTGCGAATTGCAGGTATGTAACCATTTTCTGAAGCTAAAAACTCTGAATTATTAAATGTCATTTTACATTCTCGATTTCATAGATTAAAAGTTGTTGTTTCAGTTCTCTTCTTATTGGCTTAAATTTTCAATCGCTTTCGTACTGTCAGTTAACTTCCGGGATAGAGATAGTCTACCTGGGAGCTGAATTTCGATTTAGAACTGGACATTTGAAGGGCCGTGGAGCTTTCAACAATGTTTCTCATTCGTTTGTTATGCTATCAGGAGACGTCTGCAAGTCTATTCTGAGCTAGATATGATTTCTTATTATGATACACAGTTTGCTTTTATGTAAAAATATGGCATTTTTTGGAATACATGGTCCTTATATTGCAGAAACTGCTATAGCGAGCAATACCTGGAGTGACATTTCGTGCATCAACATTTTTTAGAAGTAGAATATATTGAATGTTCCAAATATTATTATCGTAGAACTAATAATGCATGCAAAATCAAATTTACATAGTAAATTCAGACTTTCATAGCTACAACACACGTAGTACTACCACTATAGTTAACCCCGCGCATAATTCGTCCTAGGTATCTCGACCTAAAACTGTTTAATAAGCTAAACAATGATAGTAAAAACATCAGTGATCTGAGGATGTCCAAAAAGACTTTCAAAAAGACGCTGACTAGTTCATGCTAGTTCTACCGTGTCTGAATGTGATCTATTATGACAAAATTTATATGTGTACTATCTTTCGAGAGTATGTAGAGATCTCTTATGCCTTCTCGATTGTAATAAATTGATTTTATTAATAATGATTTATTATAATTTCCGAGTTTAATAGGATGGTTTGTTGTTGTTGCTGGCAGATTTGGGAGCGAGGAAGCTCTTAACTCTTTAATTAGACTCTAATTATAGTATGGCCACGCAATAGCTACAGTTTACTCGTTTTTTGTCCAGACCATTTACATTTACTAAGTTGCCAGTAAATCTTAAGCTTAGCTGACTATGTAGTAGCTGTTGTATTGCCTTTGTGAACTAAATGAGTAATATGTATATGAGGAAACAAACCGTGTAAATTTATAAATAACACAAGAAAAGATGCCACGGTCTTTGTGAACGGGAGATAAAGGATAAGCAGTAGTCTATAAATTGCAGAATATATGGTAATTGCGTTTTGAGTAATGGCTTTTAGTTTTTTTATATTATGTACGCAGTGTCAAAGAAAATAGAACATCCAGTAAAAACGATTTTATTTGGATGAAATTTTGTATACAGTCGGGGCATGCTTCTTATGAGATTCTACTAAAGATTTACACCCTGTCTTTCTCTGAAAAAGCTTCTGAGTCGTGCCCGTCCGTTATGCATCCTTAAAACCGAACTGAGACTGAGAAAACTGAAATAATGGATGGTTTGACATAGTTCTCAGCTTATTGATGAATTTCGGTTTGGAAGCAAGCAGTGCTAGCTTGGTACATCTCAAGAATACGTAAATCACATCACCTAGCTCATGTCTAACTGTATACAGGGTGTTTCACCACTTATCTGACAAATTTTAACGCACTGTTACAAAAGAAGTTGATTTCTCAAAAAAAAAAATAATAAAAGTCTTACAGAAATCTAGGTAATAAAATAATACAGTTTAACGGTTCACTTACTTGTAAAAGCTATTCAAAATTGTTTCTATTGACTGCAAAGCAAGCTAAGCTAATCCAATTCCTGCGCACTAATTCAAATACGCCTCCTTCCTGCTGTGCCTGAAGCCTTAAATTATTGGCAGCTACTGTGATTCGGTCACGCAATTCTTCAATATTCTGAACTGGAATACGATATACCTAGTCTTTCAAGTATCCCCATAAAAAGAAGTCCAGAGGATTTAGATCGGAAGACCGTGGAGGCCATGCAATTGGTCCACTCCTCCGATCCAGCGCATCTGGTATACCTGATTCAGACGAGAAGCTCACGAATTTTGCCCTGCTTCTCCGTACGCTAAAAGAATGTCCACTAACTACCTCATTAGTGTACACATGTGCCATTTTTATTAATAAGGGCTGTATCGTCAGTCGTTCCTATATTTGTAGGATGCCTTTAGGGCCTCCTTGATTTTCATAGTTTTCTACTCTTCCGTGTCAGCGCTCTATTTTAAGGTTATGTTACAAATATCTATTTGCATCAAATTGTCCATGCTTTTGATTAATATCATCTGTGATATAGCCTGAAATTTCCTAAAATTCAAGAAGAAAACATAGCCTGACAATAGGAGAGCACTGCGGCTGACATAGAAAAGTAGGAATCTAGAAATATCACAACCTTTCTGAAGGAAAGACTATGAAAATCAAGGAGGCCATAAAAGCGTCCTACAATTGTAGGAACGACTGACGATACGGCTTTAAATAAATAACTAAAAACATAAATTCGGGAAATACTTCAACTTCACAAGAATCGACCGTTCTTCATTCAGATCATCCACGATACAGACTAAACCTTATTTACACGTTCTTATCAGTATGAAAAAACAAAAAATTCTAATATAATGACGATCAACGCAAAATACAGATATTTTATTTTTCAATTTTTTATTGAAACTCAGGTTTATAACTTAATTTCTGTAGGACTTTTATTACATTTTTTTTGAGAAATCATTCTTTCGTAACAGTGCATATATGGTTAAAATTTGTCGGATGAGTTGTGAAACACCCTGTATAGAATTTAATTTAAATATAATCAGTTTTACTAGGTTGTTCTTTTATCTTCGTCATCAAGTATTCATCAAACCTCAATGCGTTCCTTGAAAATTGTTCGGTAGCTTTTTCGATTAGATTTGGAGTGAGTATCAAATGAGATCAGTCGATGTCTCATAACCGAACGCCACTCGAAATCGTGACGTATTGTCGTATTGTGAATCAGTATTATATTTTAGTGGCAACATCATCAAAGTGCTTCGTATTTCGAGCACGGAATGTTTTTTATTTATTAATTCCGTTGCGTGATAGGAACCGCAGTCGATGATGCATGCCTCATAAAGGATATGCAACGTGGTGTTTAATAGTTCATGAAGAACGACGGCATGTGGACTGATATAATAATAGCCATGACTGGCGGCATTGAAAGTCGCACGTAAAGCTACAATTTAGGAGACTAATTCCCCCAAAGAAAATTAACTTCAGTACCTCTGTCGACGATAGTCAAGTCGAATCGTTAACTGCAAGAGAAGGATAACATAAATGGAATAGTTTTCTCCAGAGATGGAGTAAATCAAGATTTATTACTATTTGGTGATATAAAGTGCGAAATAATTCGTTTATGATGTGGAAAGGATCGGAAATTTTTACGCTTTCTGTTCCAACACTTTCAGAATCGATGGATTCGACTTTTTCATCCAAAGACCAAGATTCTGATGGAACTGGGACAGAAAGTTCATCACTATGCTTAACGGGCCGCATAGCTGATGGTAAATTAGTAATATGGTCTCTCGGTTCTCTCCAAACCATTGGTACCGCAAAGGGCATTTTACGATTGTCGCCTCTCAACCAACCTGTTAACAACGTTACACAAGTCTTACAACATATATGAGGGGCCCATAGTTTATCTTGGTCGCCAACTTTAATTCCAAAATAAAGTTCGTGTACTTTCAACACAAGGGGAGTAAAAGTACGTTTTTGGGATTTAAAAGTTAGCTCTCCGCACACAACAAAAACTGTTCGCACTATTTACACAATTTCTAGGCATGGCTTCATAAAGCTAGTCTCGATCACAATAAACTAAAAACAACACACCGTTTTAACAAAAATTAACAGTACCCAGAACATCTCAGTACCCTTCAACACAGAAAACGTAACTGACTCAGCTGCTATTAGTCTACTAATAAACGCAATATGATCTCTAAACATAGAGCTCGCATATAATAAACAGGAATAGACAGGTCTTAACATTATATATGTGCGTCATCGCATAAACGCCGATAAATGCAGCATAATATGAGTAGTAATTCATAAAAGTAGATGTTACCGAATATCTGTGGTTGATGAAATTCTGTTTTTAGATTTGATTTAAGGGTTTCAAAATACATAAGATACACTCAAAAATTGTCATGTCACAAATCCTGTGCTTGTCAGTGATTTTTAGCCTCCGAAACTAAAGGTAAATTATCATTCACAAAAAGCTAGATAAATACAATAATTTTAGACTTGCTAGGATTGATCTTTAGGGAGTGCCTCTTACACAAATTTTGAATATTGACTAAATCTCCGTTAACTTTATAAGAAATTCCATTAAAGTTGCTACAGTTAAAATTGAATGTCAGCTGTGTATCATGCGCATAGGTTTGGATCGCACAATGCTGTCTTGATTTGAAAATTATTGAAATAAAGTGCTAAAACTAAACGTTTTTCGCATTTAAAGTGTTACTAACGTGTCAGTCGGATATGAAATTCTCAAAATACGAAAGACACTTCACGTTTTAATTGTGTTCACATTTCATACGATCAGATTTTCCGTTACGAAATGGAGGAAATAGTTCAGTAAGACGGAAACCACGGATTTCTAACTTCCGAGCCAAATATTTCAAATGCGAGAAATTTCTTGGTAACGTTTTAATATTAGGGCCATTTTTAAAGTTATAACCGCGCATTTTGTCATGTGGCGTCCGTTCAACCTCAGACACTCGTGGTCAGTCTCTGACTACGCCGCTATTCCGTCTCACGTCTCTGTCGGTGTTGGTTGTTCTGCTTTGTTTGTCGCCATGTCAATCGGTAAACCAACCAGCGCTCAGTAAATCAGTTTTAAAACGCAAAAAAATTCCTCTTGATGAAATTCAGCAGCAGCTTGTTGAATTAGGCGCGCTATTCAAAACTGCTGGCGGGGCTTGCTTTCTAGCGGCATAATTATGCTTCACGACAACGCTCGGCCTCACGTTGCGACAAGAACACAGCGGCAACTGGATACTCAGTTGGGAATTACTGGATTATCAACCATATAACCCTGATTTAGCACCATCGGACTTACATCTTTTGCCAAAACTTGAGAAATTTTCCATTGGAAATCGTTTGGAAAGTGATGACATGTTGAAAGAAACTGGTTTAACGGTCAGGCGGCAGCGTCCTTTGACGCTGGGATCCACGTGAAACGTTTAAATGCTCATAAATAAAGTTTCTCTGACTCAGTTAAAAAATGGTTGTCTAAACAAGTACCTCTCCTAATGAAACATAAATTAGTGGTAATATAATCAAAACGTCCGGATCGGAACAATTTTGTGGGGATTGGGGAACCCCTCTGCGAGATCCTAGGTTTAAAAGGAATTGTAAAAGATTAGAAGGAATTCGTTCCGATCCACTTTCTAAGAACAGGGCATGCTAGACCTTATTGCGTTCCCGCCTTGTCGCAAAATTCTATGTTTGATCTTAGTAGGGCAAGTCGTCAGTCTTCTTTCACGGAAAAGACTTCATCATCACTCAAACATATATGGAAACTTTGACTTTGTTGTTTCCATGACAACGGTGCCGAGCAAAAAAATGCAAAATAAAAAATACTATTTTGCATTGGCTCGCTGAACCACGAGGTGAACCACCAGTCAAGCAAGCCATAACG